ATATTTGTCCCTTTGTGACTGAGATATTTCACTCAGCATAATGTCCTCCAGGGTCACCCATTTTGAATAATATTGCATGAGTTCCTTGTTTTTCAAAGCAGCGTAGCATTCCATTGTGTGAATATACCACAGCTTCTCTATCCATTATATAGTAAATTTTTATAATTTCACAAAAGATTCTTTCTAATTGCTTAGACTGTACATGAGAGATTAGTCACTCCAGACAGGTGTTTTTGCCTACAGAAGCAAACTAAGAGACTTAAAATCAGAGACATGCCTGTGATGCTGAGAAGACCACTTGTATTTTTAAACAATAACATTTTCAGAAACTTTGTCAACATTTAGTCCCTCAGCAGTTCTCTCAGAGCTGCTTTTTATCTTGCTCAAAACATTCTTTAGGGAGCTCTGGTGGCCTAGTGGCAGGAAGCTGCACTGCAATCCCAGAGGCTCACGGTTGGAATTCACCAGATGCTCTGCTGGAGAAGGAGGGACAGTCTCCTCCTGTACCAGTCAGATCTGATTTGACGGCACACACACACACACTAAAAATTTAAAAAAAAAAACAAAACCAAACATTCTTTAATAGCATTTCTTTCAGTGAGAAATTTTCAGCCCAGTTTTAGAATTCAGCTTATATTCATGATGATTGCTGAACTTTTTACTTGGCATTCTAAACCATGATTAGTCATTGAAGCACAGCCTCATATTAGGACTTAATGACTTATAGGCCATAGGTATTTTGTCTTTCCTTTTTGTTACTTAGGGGATTGCAGTAAATCTTGGTTTGTTGGTAGACCTCGGGTTTACTTTAATTTTATTTTCAGTTAATGTCAGTAGCAGTAAACCAAGTTTGCCAGCTGGCTTACAGGTTCTTGCTCCTTCCACACTGTCCCATTGATCCTCACCACCTCTCCTACATCAAATTCATTGGGCAGTAATTTAAATATGTACTTTTGAAGTAAACAATCTGTATTGGAATCCTGCTTCTCCCAGTTATTAGCTCAGTGATTTGGGGCAGGTTAGTTAAAACTTCTCTGTGCCTCAGTTTTCTAATGTGGAAAGTAAAGTTAATGTACCTGCCTTCTAGGTCTCTCACAGGGATTAAAAAGAGATACTGCTTATAGACCACTTTGCAAAATGCTTGATCATAGTTGGCATTTAATAAATAGTAATTATTTTTTAAATTATCTGAGAAATTTATCTTGTTTTCCTGGAGTTGTGTCCCATACCTCCACTAGCTATTGTAATTTCTCATCCTCACTGGCTCCCTTACCCTTTCCAGTTGCTATTTTCAAGCCTCTGTTTTAATATCTCCCACCCTCTTTTTTTTAATATCTCAGGATTGAATCCTTTGTCCATACCTATTTAGTTCTTGTCCCTGAATTTCTGTAGTTGGCACCCTGGTTTTTTTAACTCCAGGTTTTTTACCACTTTTTATTTTTGTTGTTTCCCTGTTAGCAACTTGTAGTGGGTTTCTTAATTGCTTACATTGAAAATGTAATCCTAAGCCTACCAGTTCCCAAACCCCTCAACACCTACCTGCGCCGTGGCTTCGAAACTTTCTCTCAGGTAACCAGTGTACTCCAGCCAACAGAGTAAAGTTGACAAAATCAGTTAGTCCTCTCAGAGGGGGCTTTCTGCACCCCTCTTCTCTCTTCCTGGTCCAGGGGTGTGATTCCCTTTGTTTTAAGGTTCAGTTTAGTGATCACTTATGCCAAGAAATCTGTTCTAAAGAACCCCACTCCAGGTTAATCACTTCTTCATTTAGATTTGTAAACTACAGCATCAAACGAGTGTAATTGTAAAAGCAGTGTAATCACAATATTAAACATTTGTAAAACAGAGAAAGGAAACCTATAATCTCAACCTCCTAACAAATGTATTATCATCAGTGTCTTATTTTCTTACAACGTTTTTAATATGTAGATTGCTTTTTAAAAATATATATCCATTAGTTAGCCATGTTACTGGATACACATACTATGTGGTCAGTATTAAATTCTTCCAGAGAGTATTGGAATATTATTATGCTCCTAAAGTCATATACTCTTGAGTTGTAATACTGAAGGATTCTATGTACAAAATATTGAATGGTGCTGGAAGCATCAAAAGAAGATAGAAGGAAAACGCAGAATCAATGTACCAAAGAGAGTTTGTTAACACTGAAACATCTCAGGAAACATGATCAAGAAACGATTAAGAGTAGACATGAAAGAAGATGTCAAAGCTTCACTGAAGGCATTGGCAAAAATAAGGCCCTAGGAATTGATGGAATACCAATTGATAAGTTTTAACTGACATATACAACTCTGGCGTGCTTGCAAGTCTATGCCAAGAAATTTGAAAGATAGCCACCTGGACAGCTGACTGGAAGAGATCCATATTCATTGGTCCCATTCCAAAAGTGATTCAGCATAGTATAAAAATTATCAATAAATATTACTAATACCATGCACAAATAAATCTAGAAAATTATTCAAAAGCATTTGGAACCCTACATCAGCAAGGAACTGCCAGAAATTCATACTGGATTCAGAAGAGGCCATGGAACAAAGGATACTTTTGCTGATGACAGATCTATCTTGGCTGAAAGCAGAGAATACTAGACTAACACGTGGGTTTTATTGTCTTTGCAAAGGCATTTGACAGTATAGATTATAATAAATTATGGATAAAAACAGAATTCCAGAACACTTTATCATGCTCATGTGAAACTTGTATGTAGAGAAAGAAGTTGTGTGAACAGAACATGAGAACACATCATGTTTTAAAATCAGCAAAGATGTGTGTCAAGGTTGACTCCTTCCTCCAAACCTATTCAGTCCATATGCTGAGCAAATAATTTCAGAAGCTGGGCTATATGAAGAGGAATATGACATCAGAATTAGTTGAAGACTCATCAACAACTTGGGATATGTAGGTGACACAATCTTGTTTATGGAAAGTGAAGAAGACTTCAAGTACAGAAGAAGAACAAAGATGACAGCCATAAGTATGGATCATATCTCAACATCAAGGAAGGGCGGGAAAATCTTCCCGGCTAGACCAGTAGGCAACATCATGATAGAGAAAAGATTGAAGTTCTCCCAAGATTTCAGTTTACTTGGATCCACAGTAAGCAGCAGTCAAGAAGTCTAAAGAGGTTTTTGCATTGGTGAAATCTCTTATCAAGGACCCTCTGTAAAGTACTAAAAACCAAAAATTTAATTTTAAAGACTGAAGGTGCACCTCTTCCAAACAGTGGCATTTTCCTTTACTTCTTCTGCATCTGCGAGAAGACAATAGATAAGGAAAACCAAAGAAAAAACAGTGCCTTTGTGTTGTAGTGTTGGGAAAGAGTATTGACTATCCTATAGGCTGCCAAAAGAGCAAACAAATCGGTCTTGGAGAGCACAACCATTGTTCTTCTTGGAGGCAACGATGGTGAAATTTCGTCTCACATACTTTGGTTATATCAACAGGAGTTACCAATACTTAGAAAAAGACTTCGTGCTGGGAAGGGTAAAGGGTCAACAAAAAAGAGGAAAGACCTTTGGTGAGATGCATTTGTACGTGACTGCAACAGTGTGCTTACTTGAGCATGGCAGAAAGCATGAGGATGGTGAAGAAGAGGACACAATTTTGATCTGTTGTTTATCAGATTGTTATGAATTGTCTTGATGATACCTAACACAAGTTCTTGTAGTTGAGATGATTGTAAAGAATAATGAGAGTATATTACCAATGTTTATTTTTTCTAACATACAAATCTAGCCTACTTAATAAAGACTTGAAACGATGAATAACAGAGTTGAAACAAAGGAAATGCACATTCATTCATAGACTTTCACACATTAAAGTAGGATAAAAAAAAAGCAAGAACTAAATATTGTAGGACTAGGAAAAATACAGTAACTTTGCCAGAAAATCTGAGTTACATTTACTTTTTTAAATAGAAAAATAACCTTAGCTCTGAGTTTCTCAGGAGTCAAAAGGGAAGAACAGTTTCAATAAGGGAGCAGCCGGCTCAATAATGCAGAGCTGAGAGGAGGAATAACATGAAGACACAGGAAGGTGTGGGACCTAGTTACACAGGTTCATGATATTTTGTACACCATCCATTTTATACTCCAGTGTTACTTTCTATTAATTTTAAAAATTATTTGTGTTTATACTCTCTATCTAGAGGAGGAGCTATTTAGTCGTTAATATAATATCCAAAACCCTTATGGTGTTTTGTACATAATAATGGAATGAATTAATGTTATACATAAGAAACTGAGAAGATATACAATACAGTTTATGAGATTGGAGTTGCTTTGAGCCTGGTATTCTTTAGCTGCCAGAGCAGAATTCCTAGACATCTGCCAATTATGTACAAGAATTTAACAGAAGATTCAGTGAACATCTCAGCTACAACATGAATGCAAAGTAAATAACTTAATGCATAGAAAGCTCTGTGGCTAAGCTCACATGTAGTTGTTTAGAATTAAGGTAATTGTCAAAAACCAAACCAGTTGTTGTCAATCTCAATTCATAGCAATTTTTTTAAGTCCATTAACAGTAAAAAGACACCAGATTGCTTTGGTTCTCAGATTCAAAGTGTCCATGAATCCTTTTACTATGTTAGAGGAAATGAAGAAGACACAGTAAGACAGTGACGTCTATGTATCAAAGAAAGGAGAAAACCGCCTTTGGTCTGCTAAAGTAATCTTGATTCATTGTATTTACAGTTTTCTTAAGTTTAGCTAATAAAGCTGAACCACTTTATGATACTTTTCTTGGTCTCCAAAGAAAAACAGGGACATTAATATAAAGATTAGCTTTGGCTGTCAGCAGTTTAAGAGTAGCTTGACCTGCATCTTTTTGAGGTGCAGTAAGTTGATGGTGTGATTTTCTTTCCCTCTCTCCTCCTGTCTACCTCTTTTTAAAATAGTAATCTGTGTCACATGTTCAAATAAAAATATTTTTTAAAATACAATAGCTTGTCTTTAATTCCAAAAAGTTAAATTGTCAAAGATCATGGACAAGTATGTGTTACCTAGTTATATATTTTAGGTATGGGATTTTGGGTACTTTCATTTTCTTTCTGTTGTTTTGTATTTCTGAAATATTTAAAATTTTTTTTTTATTTTATTATTTTTGTGTGAGTGTACCGTCAAATCAGATCTGACTAGTACAGGAGGAGATTGCCCCTCCTTCCCTGGCAGAGCATCTGGTGGATTTGAACCATGCGCCTCTGGGATTGTAGTTGCAGCTCCTTGCCACTAGGCCACCAGAGCTCCCCCTATTTCTGAAATATTTTACACTAAGCTGTGTAAATGATGGGGAAACAGTTTCTTGCTTCCTCAAAGTATGTAAAGAATAAATAATGATCTAAGTAGATAACAGTTTGGCTTGAATTTTTCAAATGCAAGATTCTCTACACATGGTTGTTAAACGTGACCCTTCTTTGATCCGCAGAGAAAGCCAAGGCCTCCAATGGCTGTGTGCTGGTGCACTGTTTGGCTGGGATCTCACGCTCCGCCACTATAGCCATTGCCTACATCATGAAGAGGATGGACATGTCCTTAGATGAAGCCTACAGGTGAGGACACGAGGGCATCTTTGCGGGTGGGCTGGCTTTTAATTCATGTTTTTACCTAAAACATGACTAGATATGAGAGTTAGTAACCAGATTTAAATTTTTTTATCCATACTCTTTATAGCTTTCTTGAGGTTTTTAAAGCTTTGTCTCAAAGAATGATGAAAAATTCTTTATTATTATTTAGTATTAATTCTGTCTTAATCTATGGCAAATTCAACCTAAACTAATTTTCAAATTTAAGGAATAAACAAATCCAGGAAGAGGTCTCTGTCCTGTCATATGAATTTAGTCTTTTTCTGGGAGCATGCTTAAGGGGAAGTCAGTTACTTTAATTTACAGATGACAAAATGCTCATTATACAATTTCAACTCATTTCAAGCCTTGTACTTCTTTATCAAGGGGGAAAATTCAATACATCCAAGTTATTTGGTGCCGTCGAGTTGCTTGTGACTCATAGCGACCCCATGTACAACAGCTCTAAACTCTGCTCTGTCCTGTGCCAATCATACTGTCTCCGACACACCCAGCCCGATTACCCCAGTCACTGAATCAGTCCACCTCATAGAGGGCCTTCCCCTCCTGCGCTGTCCCTCCACCCTACCAAGCATGATGTCCCTCTCCAAGGACTGATCCCTCCTTACAACATGTCCAAAGTATGTTAGACGGAGCCTCAGAATCCTTGCCTCCAGGGAGCTGCCCGGTTTAACCCTTTCCAGGATGAATCTGTTTGTTTTCCTAGCAGTCCATGGTACCCTCAATACTCTTCTCCAGAACTATAGCTCAAAGCATCAATTTTCCTATCCTCCTTAGCCACTGTCCAACTCTCTTACTCATAACAAGTGATAGCAAAGACCATGGCCTGTATCAGATGCACCTTAGTCTCCAGAGAGACACCATTGCTCTTCAGTACTTTCGAGAGGTCCCTAACAGCAGAATTTTCCATTGCAATATATCTTTTAATTTCCTGGCTACTGGTGCCAAGAGTGTTGACAGTGGAGCCAAGCAAACTAAAGCTGTAAACAATCTCAATCTCTTCACCGTCCATCCTGATGCTGCCAGTTGGTCCAGTGGTGAGAATCTTTGTCTTTTTGACATTGAGCCTCAATCCATATTGAAGGCTGCAGTCCTTGACCCTCTGCAGCAAGTGCTTTAGGTCCTCTTCAGTTTCAGCAAGCAGGGTTGTACAGTCATCTGCATAACGCAGATTGTTGATGAATCTTCCACCAATCCTGACACCACACTTCTCCTCTTAGAGCCTCCCGGATAATCTGTTCTACATACAGGTTGAAAAGGTAATGGAGACAGGACACATCCCTGGCAAACAAACCTCGAGTTGCTATAATAAAGGATGCTTTAGGAAGAATATTAAATGATCCAAGAATTATTAAAAGAAGATGGAAAGAATATACTGAGTCACTGTATCTAAAGAATTAGCAGACACAGAAGAATTTCATGAAACAACATATGAGCAAGAGCCTATGGTGATGAAAGAAGATGTTCAGGCTGCTTTGAAGGAAATAGCAAAAAATAAGACCCCAGGAACCCCAGGAATAGATGGTATACCAATTGACATATTTCAGCTAACAGATGCTGCCCTGGATGTGCTCACCAAGTTGTGCCAAGAAATCTGGAGAACAACTACTTGGCATACTGACTGGAAGAGATCTATATTTGTTCCCATTCCAAAGAAAGGTGACCCAACAGAGTGTGGAAACTGTAGAACAATCTCATTGATTTCACATGCAAGCAAGATTCTACTGAAGATTATCCAAAAACGACTGGAGGCGCACATCAGCAGAGACCTGCCAGAAGTCCAGGCTGGGTTTAGAAGGGGTCGTGGTACTAGGGATATTGTAGCTAATGTTAGATGGATCTTAGCTGAAAGCAGGGAATACCAGAGGAATGTCTATCTGTGTTTCATTGACTATGCAAAGGTGTTTGACTGTGTGGATCATAACAAACTGTGGCTGACTCTAAGAAGATTGGGAATCCCAGAACACCTGATTGCACTAATATGAAACCTATACTTGGACTAAGAGGCAGTCGTCAGAACAGAGGCAAGGAAACACTGCATGGTTCAAAATTGGGAAGGGCGTATGCCAGGGATGTGCCCTGTCTCCATACATCCAAGTATAAAACAAAATTATTATCACACTCCAATCATTGAGTAAAGTTTCCTACATTTTAGAGTTGACCAGATTTTACTGTTACAGGCAGAGTATGGAGGAGTCCTTGAGCTCCCAGCTGCTAACCTAATGTTAGGGATTCAAAGTTATCTTCCACAAAGATGTGGCATCTAGGATGATTACAGCCTTGGAGGCAGTTCTGCTCTGTCATTTAGGGTCACTGTGAGTTGGAATCAGCGTGATGAAAGTGGGTCATTGCTATTGTCATTGGGAGTTGGGGTATGATTGTGACAGGTGCCCAGCCATCCTCTCAAGTTGGAAGCAGGTTGTGTGACAGTGCCCCCTCGGAGTCAGGTTTTGTGTAGTGAAGGTGAGTCTGAGCTCCTTGCATGTCTTGTAGAGAAAGAATAGTTTCCTTGTAATTAAAGGATGGATCAGAAATAACCTATAGAGCAGACCTGTTAGATCAATTTGATTCCCTCCCACCCCCTAAGTTGGACAATACGGAAAAAGAAGTGGGATGCCTGAGAAAGGAGCCAGGAGATGTGGCATCCGTTAGTCTGCGGGAGCTGCCTGTCATTCTCCCTGCTGTCCCCTTGCCATGTACAAACCAGAAGAAAACACTCTCTTACATCATGCCACTAAGTTATGCTATGAGGGGCCTCTGTTTCCTCTGAAGAGTCTTCAGTGTTTCTATTGAGCCAGTTACTTCTGGCTTTGGTCATAGTTTACTTGATTTCCTAGTAGTTTGTTTTTCTCCGTCTTTATTCAAAAGCCAGATTCCAGTATCATTTCAGTCCTGCTACATCATCTGAAAAGTATCAGTAAGAGAACTTTAAAGACTTTGTCTGCTATCTCTAAGAGTCTTTGTTTCCTCAGTGAAATGTTTAGTTGACAAATCTTTTTTAACATGATGATGGTTGTTGTTGTCATGTGCAGGCGAGTCGCTTGCGACTCATAGCGACCCTATGTACAACAGCCCTAAACCCTGCTCTGTCCTGTGCCAATCACACTGTCTCTGACACACCCATCCCGATTACCCCAGTCACTGAATCAATCCACCTCATAGAGGGTCTTCCTCTCCTGCACTGTCCCTCCACCCTCCCAAGCATGATGTCCAAGGACCTGTCCCTCCTGGCAACATGTCCAAAGTATGTTAGATGGAGCCTCAGAATCCTTGCCTCCAAGGAGCCACCCAGTTTGACCCTTTCCAGGATGAATCTTGTTTGTTTTCCTAGCAGTCCATGGTATTCTCAATACTCTTCTCCAGCACCACAGCTCAAAGGCATCAATTCTCCTTCTGTCCTCCTTGGTCATTGTCCATTTCTGTGATGCATAACAAGTGATTGCGAAGACCATAGCCTGTATCAGATGCACCTTAATCTCGAGAGACACACCATTGCTCTCCAGTACTTTGGAGAGGTCCCTAACAGCAGACTTTCCCATGGCAATGTGCCTTTTAATTTCCTGGCTACTGGTGCCAAGAGTGTTGACTATGGAGCCAAGCAAACTAAAGCTTAACATGGTAGTAAAAAACAACAAAACAAAACAAGACCCCATGCATTAAATAGACTCAGTTTGAATCCCAGCCCCATTCTTTAGCACTTGGGTGATTTGGGAAAGTTACTCAAGATTCTCTTTTTGGATCTGTATCATGGGCGTAATTCTACCTACCTGACTAGGGCAGTTATATGGATAATTGAGATCATTATTGTAGTACATTATTCTGGTGCCTGGGACACAGAAGACCACGTTGTAGCTGGTTCTTCTCTCATGTTGTGTACCAAGAGAATAATTTACAAATGGTTGCCTTGGAATTCTGACCATCTGATACTTTCCAGTTATGTCATTAATTAAAATGTGAAATGTCTGAAGGAAGTGAATGGGGACTTGGAAAGGCTGTGGTATTGGAAAACTGAAGTTAAAGAATGGTTGTTACACTTGAATGCTGATGTGGAATCATCTCAATTTCAGTGGAAGCTTTAGGGTCTTGAAAATAACGAGGTTTTGACTAGAGCTTTTGGGGCCTGGCCACACTCTGCATGCTGCAGACATGTGTAAAGCTCTCCTAGTGCAGAGTCCCCTGCTGTCCTCAACCCTGAGGAGTCTCCCTGAACCTTAAACAGTGTACCTTCCAAAAGGTATCTGGAAAGGTCTTTGTAATAATTCCTTATCTCATTTATTCCCTGTATTTTTTATCGTTTGAAAATTTCAAGTCTTGGTTCTTTTTCTTCTCTTCATAGATTTGTGAAAGAAAAAAGACCAACTATATCTCCAAACTTTAATTTTCTGGGCCAACTCCTGGACTACGAAAAAAAGATTAAGAACCAGACTGGAGCCTCAGGGCCAAAGAGCAAACTCAAGCTGTTGCACCTGGAGAGGCCAAACGAACCTGCCCCTGCCGTCTCAGAGGGTGGACAGAAAAGCGAGTTGCCCCTCGGTCCACCCTGTGCCCACTCTGCTACCTCAGAGGCAGCAGGGCAAAGGCCTGCACATCCTGCCAGTGTGCCCAGCGTTCAGCCAGCACTGTTGGAGGACCGTGCACTGGTACAGGCTCTCAACGGGCTCCACCTGTCCTCAGACAAGCTGGAAGACAGCAATAAGCTCAAGCGTTCCTTCTCTCTGGATATCAAATCTGTTTCGTACTCGGCCAGTATGGCAGCATCCTTGCATGGTTTCTCCTCATCGGAGGATGCTTTGGAATACTACAAACCTTCCAGTGCTTTGGATGGGACCAACAAACTATGTCAGTTCTCCCCCGTTCAGGAAGTATCAGAGCAGACTCCAGAAACCAGCCCAGATAAGGAGGAAGCTAGCATCCCGAAGAAGCCCCAGACTACCCGGCCTGCAGACAGCCAGAGCAAACGATTGCACTCAATAAGAACCAGCAACAGTGGTGCCAGTCAGAGGTCTTTCTGCTCTCCGTTGCATCGGAGTGGGAGTGTGGAGGACAATTATCACACCAACTTCCTTTTTGGCCTTTCCACCAGCCAGCAACATCTTGCAAAGTCGGCTGCAGGGCTGGGCCTTAAGGGCTGGCACTCAGATATCTTGGCTCCCCAGACCTCTACCCCTTCCTTGACCAACAGCTGGTATTTTGCCACCGAGTCCTCTCACTTCTACTCTGCCTCTGCTATCTATGGAGGCAGTGCCAGTTACTCTGCCTTTAGCTGTAGCCAGCTGCCCACTTGTGGGGACCAAGTCTATTCTGTGCGCAGAAGGCAGAAGCCCAGTGACCGAGCTGACTCACGGCGAAGCTGGCATGAAGAGAGCCCCTTTGAAAAGCAGTTTAAACGCAGAAGCTGCCAGATGGAATTTGGAGAGGGCATCATGTCAGAGAACAGGTCGAGGGAGGAACTAGGGAAAGTGGGCAGTCAGTCTAGCTTTTCAGGCAGCATGGAAATCATTGAAGTTTCCTGAGAAGAAAAATACTTGTGACTTGTGTTGTTTTTTGTGGGTTTGTTTTTTCCTTGTTAAAAAAAAATTCCCTGTAAATCTGAAAAAATATATATATGTATATACATATATATTTTTTGGAAAACGGAGCTATGGTGTAAAAGCAAAAGATGGATCAACATACTTAACATCTGCATTTGGGAGATCAGCTAACATTTCTCCCAAAAGTGGAAGGGCAGATGATAGATTTCCCCGTAGACAAATGAAGAGCAGTTTTATGCAATAAGTTGCATATCCTCTTATTCTTTTGAACATAAATTGTACTTGGTTTTGGAGGACAAAATCCCCTGCCACTTTTATGTTGGGCTACAAAGAGATCTCAGACACTAGTCTCTGTCCAGTCCCTTCCATAGTGCACCTTAGCGCTGAGACTGAGCCAGCTTGTGGGTCAGGTGGGTAGACCCTGTTAGGGACAGAAACCTAATGGTAAATCCAAAAGAAAGGATCGCATCAGAAGCTGGTCCACAAATCCATGCTCTCCTGACAGCTGAGCGATGCATGCATATTCTCTGGACAGACCATTAGGGGACTTGCCAAGATCTACTTTAGAGCAAAACCAGTACCTCAGACAGTAAAGATGGGGCTTTCACCACTACCCAGGTCTGGGAGCCCATTTTAAGCATTGTGAGTAGGTAGGTAGCTAGTCACCCTTTTCAGACCAATTCAAACGGTTTTTTTCCCACTTGGGCCTACACGTAGGTAAGTAATTCCACGACCCCCCCACCCCACCCCCTTCTCATCTTTATGAAGACAAAGAGAAGGGATTCCAGGAATTTGGCAACATACGATTCAAGCTTAAGTTGGGAGGCTAAATAAGTCTCCCTTCCTCTTTCTAAATCAAAGAATTGCTCAATGAGATTGTTAATCCCTTAGATAGAGAATAACTTGGTTTCAAGCCAAATGTGAATTTATTTGGGTTAGTAGAGCAGCAGCAGCAGCACCTTCAAGTTCTCAGCCAAAGTAGATGTTTTCTGTTGTTTGATCACATGGATGCATCTTGTAAAAATGTAATGACGAGGCAGAATGTTAGAGAAACTATCAAGTGGGAGGAAACCCGTGGAAAGATTAAGGAGGTCAAATTGCTGAGTCAAGGAAGCAGGAAACTTACTTTCTTGGTGTTTGGGGGTTCTCTTCCCCTCCCCGTTAACATGCAACAAGGGGTTGTATTTCTATAATTTCCTGACTTTCCATTTCCTAACAGGGCTGAGAGAGGTTTCACTAAGTAAGAAGTACTGAGAATAAAACAGCGAGTGTAGATCAATGATGAGAAGCGTGTTAAAATATTCTTTAGTTGCTAATAAAAGCCACAGACAAGCTATTCTCAAAACCATCCCTGACATTTCTTTAATAGAAGGGGCCTATCTCAAAGGAGCAAGACCACGTGCTCTCTCAGTCCTTGACTTCCAATCACTGAACAGAATCAGTCCTGGCAGCTGGAAATAGGAGGTGATGAGAACAAGTACACAGTGATAGTACATATCTGCTTTTTAAACTTCCTGGCTTGAGTTTTATTAACTACAGTACGGTCCTCTTTTGAAGCCTTAATTTACGTCAGCAGCTGTTTTTACTTTTTGGGCGGGTGGGGGATGATTGTTGTCAATGTTCTTTCCTTTACTGTAAGGGTAGCTAGTTGCTGACTCATATCTCAGGTTTTTCACTGTTTGAGAAATGGACAGTCCTTTGACTAGGATGTGACTTAATGTTTCCTGTGGTGAGTCCTAAAACCAGCATGGAATGACATGATTCAGAACTGACTGACTTCATCACAAGAATTATGTGGTTTGGCCACATGATTGGTTGTGCACAAATAGCGTACTATGAAACAGGTATAAAATGAAGGCAGAAAGAGTAAACTGCATAGAGAGTACTTTGTTAACATATTCAAAATATTGTTAAAATGATCTGAGTTAGTTTTTTTTTTTATAAATACATGCGCTGAAATTTTAAATCTTTGATATAATCAGACATTTTTGAAGTTTCACCTAGTAGTTTTTGATGTGTTATTTATACAACACACCAAATGTGTAACAGCTCACTGCTTCCCGAGTCTGGTCACAACTCTCAAACTTTTCTAAGAAATGAAAGTAACAGCTCCAACGTTTCATTTCAGGAGAGCTCGGGGACTTGGTTCTGACAAGCAATCTATTGGCAGAAACCTGCCTTTCTCTCATCCTTTGGGGTTTCTCTTGGCCACAGTCTCCTTTCTTCCTGTAAATGTGACATAGACATAACACTACAACCTTAGTTCTTGATTGCTAATGTCAAATAATTAATTCTTGGAATCAGGACTGTCCTGCCTTGGAGGCAAAGCTTGGCGCTGCTTGTGTATCAGTAGGGCCAGCAGGGGAAGCCTGGGACCTACTAGGTTGATAAAGATGGTGATTGATTTGCAGAGCAAAACTAGACTCTCATGTGAGAAATGCTGGAAAACGGTGTAGGACATTTCTGAAGTTAGATGGAAGGACTGTATAAATGTTTAATATGAATATAGTGTTCTTTCAGTGTAAGGCAAGCTGTTGAATGGTTAAATTGTGCATTTCTCATTTTGATGTGTCATGTATGTTAATATGATGAATTAAAATAAAAACTGGTACCTGTTTATACATAAATACGAGAAGGGACCTCTTTTTTCAGCTATAAACTTGGTGGGAACAATACTGCTCAAGTTGCCGAAGGAGGCAGCCAGCAGCCATGGGATCTGCCTCCCTATTAGGTGCTTTCGTGCTTGTGACTCACAGTGACCCTGTGTACAAACAGCTCTGAACCCCTGCTCTATTCTGAGCCAACTTTATCATCTCTGCACACCTACCTCCATTACCCGAGTCCCTGAATCAATTCATTTCACCGAGGAGTCTTCCTCTCTCGTGCCCTCCCTCTACCCTCCCAAGCATGATGTCCCTCTCCAAGAACTGGTCCCTTCTTGCCACATGTCCAAAGTATGTCAGACGAAGCTTCAGAATCCTTGCCTCCAAAGAGCAGCCAGGTCTCATCCTCTGTAGGACAAACCTAGCCTCATGTAAGTAAAGAGTCAGCCCAGTAAAGCGGTGGTGTCATTAGATATCTTGTGTGTGCTATCTCATTCTCATGCAGTATTGGCTCACTAGTGAACAGTTTAGTACCAGCTGCATTCTTTAATGTGTATACTAAATAAATGCTATAGTGAAGAAACCTAAAACACTTGGTAAATATTTTCTGATCTCAGAACATAACAAGTATAGTGTAAGACAATGGAAGGTACACACTTACCATGTACTCTAACATATTGTACAAATGAATTTATAATTCTTATAGGAACAGCAGAAGAATAGTTACCATCCTTGCCATGTGCATCTTAATGGTCTGTTTAAATATGACATTGGACATAATGACCTATGCAGGTATTTGTGGGCTTCATGAACTCCTAGAAACTTAGATTTATCAGTAAATAAATAATTGCATATTAAAGGAAAAAATCATTGGCTTCATTACAAGCTGGATATAAAAAAATAAGTTAAATTCATTTACACTGGTTGTGAAAGGCTTCCGAGTTGAAGGTTGATTGTTGAAAATTTTAAACAAGGACTGGACTGGGATAGAGCTGTTTTGGACAAGATCCTGCAAGAAAACACAGGTGGGAGTGGAAAAGAAGAAATAAAATATTTCAGTGAAAGGCCTTGGAAGAGATGATGTGGGGAGGGAAGGCCTGAAGTCAAGCCATTTATCTACTTAAAACATCCTGGAGCCCTTACAGACCAACCTAGACTAAGGCAGAGAGACCGGGAAAGTGAATTTCTGAGGTGTGAAGGACAAGTTGACAGAAACTTTACCTAAGAAACCATCTCTTTTAAAGTCCCTAAATAAAAAATGTCCTTAGAGAAATTTTATATACATTTCTACTTCAGGATACACCTCTGCCAGACACCCCCCCATCTTTTGAAGCAGGAATGTTTTAAGTCTAAATAAAATTTGTCTAGGTGCCTCCTCTTCCCAACTACTACCTTCCCTTTTATATATATATATATATGTGGAAGAGGGAAGTATATCTAGCTCTCTGTGGATCTCATTCATCCTTAAACAATCTATACTAGGTTATAGCTTTAAATTGTTGGAAAGCCAACTGGAGAATTAAAACACTGTTTTGAAGATGTTTATAAGTCATACTGTTGAAATTCATGTGTTTAGACATCCAACTGGGTTTTTCTAAATATCTTCATTGCTTTGGTTCTAGCTAACACTAGGATCAGTTAGAGAATATGGTCCCCCAGAAAATACAGGGTGACCTTGTGGAAGCAATGTTGCTGCAAACAAAAATAACTGGGGGGAAGGTTAACTCAGCCATGGTCTTGGTTCCTTCTGGTCAGGGAAGTAACATTTTCAAAGACTGGATTAAAAGTACCTGGTTCATTAAGAGCCTTTAGCAAAAACTGGGCTTCATTGTATGTGTAGCCAGAGTGTTCTTGGAGGCAAAGATGATAAAGCTTTGTCTCACATGCTTTTGTGTTGGTTTTTTTTTAATAATTTTTTTATCTTTATTTTTTTTTTTTACAGAGGTTTTGGATTTCCGTTCATTCATTGCCGCAATTTTCTCCCTTCCCACCCCTCCCCACCAGCTCGCTTCCCCCTCCAAAGAGAGAAAAAAAAAAAGAAAAAAAATTCCTTCATTAGTATACAATTCCCACGTCCCTTCCCCCCACCCCTAGTACATTTCTCTATGCAACCTTAATTTTGGATTCCTGTGCTAACCATAATACTCAATCATATATCACTTCTAATCTGCTCTTTCCCTCATCTGTTTCAATATACATAATTTATCCAGTTTTTTTCTGTCATACCCCCACCCTGATGTCAGACCCATTCTACAACAGTGGCACCATGCAGTATTTGTCCCTTTGTGACTGAGATATTTCACTCAGCATAATGTCCTCCAGGGTCACCCACTTTGAATAATATTGCATGAGTTCCTTGTTTTTCAATGTTGCATAGTATTCCATTGTGTGGATATACCACAACTTCTCTATCCATTCGTTTGTTGATGGGCCCTTAGGCTGCTTCCAACTCTTTGCTATTGTAAACAAAGCTGCAATAAACATGGGTGTGCATATATCTGCTTGGATGGCAGACATGGTCTCTCTGGGGTATATTCCCAGTAATGGGATTGCTGGGTCAAATGGTATCTCTATTTGCAATTTTTTGAAAAAGCGCCACACCGCCTTCCACAATGGGTGCACCATCTTACATTCCCATCAACAGTGAATAAGAGTTCCAGTTTCTCCACATCCTCGCCAGCATTTGTTGCTTGCTGTTCTGTTATATTTTGCTATTCTTATTGGGGTGAGATGATATCTCATAGTTGTTGTTAGGAGAGGCTGTCCTTGGAAAGGGGCATCATATTGGGAAGAGTGAGGGTTAGCAAGAGAGGAAGATCCTCAACCAGGTGGACTGACACAGTGACTGCAAAAATGGGCTCAAGTATGTCAGATGATGATAGCACAGGATAGGACAAGGTTCAGACCTGTTGTTCATAGGTTCTCTATGAGTTGTACTCAACTCAACCTCATATAAAAACAACATAAGAAAAATGCATGAATCTACAACCAGGAGAGGATAAAATAGATGAATGGACCTTCTAAGAATCAAATCCCTATGCACATCCAAAAACTTCAACAGGGTAAAAAGGAAGTCACAAATTGGGGGGAAAATACTTGGTAATGATACTTGGTCTGATAAGGAACTTATATCTAGACTTTATAAAATACTTGAGCACCACAATGAGATATTGGTAAATAACCCAATTGCAAAATGGGCACCAGATATGAACACTTTACCAAAGAAGATATTCAGAAGGCAAATAGACACATGAAGTGTTCAAAATCAATAGCTCTAAGATGCAAACCAAATACCATCTCAACGCAGTAA